TTTCTCGGTTTAACCTAGTATTTCTTTGTAACATTTTGTATCTGGCTGCATTTTTAATAACAATTGCATCCTTGCACTCCCGATCAAACCACTCTATATTACGCTCTGTTTGTTTGTAGCCTACTATTTCTTCTGCTGTTCTCCTCATCGCATTTTCCATCTGATCCCATTCTTCATCGATACTTCTTGCGTTATTTATTTGTGATTATAAATGATTAGCTGCGCATATCATTTTGCGAAATACAGATCTAGCTAATGTAAATCTCAGGGATCTAGACGGTCTATAAAGGAATAGGGCTGGTTCGAATTACGATATTACAACAAGCCTACCTGACCTAATCCTTAGACAATCCGAACTATAATATTTTGAACTCAGCAGTGGTAGCGAGCTCATTAACAGTTTTTGCCTATATTGTATACGGATTTCATCTAACCAGCATCTTCTTCTGCTTTTCTGGAAATCAGATGTCTTTTAAAAATTCGTCGAGAAATTTCAATATATGGTTTTTGACGGAAATAGCTTACAAGGTTTACAAGTAAAACTTGAATTTCGTATCTTAATTTCTTGAATCCTTATATGAAAATAGAGAATGGTATAATGTAAAAAAAAAATCTTTAAAAAAATGCTCTTTAATGGAGCATCAGCATTATAGTTACTTAATTCCATTTTTCCTGCACAAAATCTATTATAAATTCCGTAATAAATTTTTTTTTGTACATAAAACTTGTGTGCGCCGGCATTAAGTCACTCCAAATCAAAAAATTCAAATTAAACTAGAATTATAATTGACACACGTACGTATAAAATTTTATTCTTTTTCTTATTTAAATTTTAATAAAACTCAATCAAAAGAAATAAAATTAATATTTAAGCTGCTACTGAAAATACCAAAAATTTTTTAACTTATCTTCATGAAAAATTATTAGAAATACCAGTATCCTTCCTTCTTCCGTCAACATCCGCATTCCATTATAGGATTTCCTTAAATCAACTGTAGCTGTTGACCTTAAATTACAACAAAATTCTATCTATTCGATCTTTTTTTAAAGATGATTCTCGTTTATTTTCCATACTTTTTTTTAATCAAATATAAAAAAAAAGTTTATTGTTTTAATTTTAAATGATGGAAAATATACGAAAGTCATTTTTTTAATGATTTCTTCCGGGTGCATTATTAAAAAGAAACTATTTATTATAACTACAAAATAATAGAAAATGATTCAAAAAATTTCTCAAAAGTTTAATTTGAAAAAAAAATACGTATATAAAAAATAAAAGTCTGTTTGTCTTCGATTTAAAGTATTAAGAAACTGCGATGCAAACCGGCTTCAGAATTATTACCTTCTCTAAAAAAGTTTTTAGCATCTTCGTGTTTAAAACAGAAAATAACCAGTCAAAACAATAAAAATTCTAGAAAAAAAAAAACAAACATAAATAAAATTTAAAATTTATTTTGTTGTATTTCAAATGACTGCAGGAAACTTGTCCACGATAGTGTATAAAAAGATTACGTAAAAAGAAACCATTTTTAAAATTGTCGCAATAATTGGTAGACTTCATCCTATAAGAAAAGTAATTCTGGTTAGTTAAAGAGAAATTAGGTACGAGTATTTCATTTACATATTGTATATCAAAACTCTTCTCATTGAGTAGCGAGTGCATCTTGAAAAGCTTGGTGAAATACGAGATGAATATAAAACTGCGTGGGCTTCCCGTGATGTCTCCCAGATTTATGTTCTTAGATTGATTTTCCTTTATCGGCATGTAAATAAAAAATATTACTTTTTTATATGCCGCGTACGTAGGGGAATGACACGTGGGGTTATGATGTCAAATTTAAATATCACCGTAGGCAGCTGTTGGGAAAGGGTAGAAACTGGCAAAAAATCCTTTTTTCTCTTTTAGGAAGACTTTATTGGGATAAGGTCAAAACCGCTATGCACATTAGTTGCGATGTCGAACAGCCAGTGTCGAACACTTCTAAGCATTCGGACGAGGTTTCCTAAGCATTCGTAAAGTGTTGTCCAATTTTTTTGGTGATGTCTTGAGCATAAGACTCCAAACATGGATAATGTAGGCGGGAGTGTGGGCTTTCATTTGGTTCTTTGAAAATCTAAAACCTACACTTTACATTTGATTGGAAATAATTGTTTTGGGCACTACCTATGTGGAATACTTTTCATGAAGCTCTAGAATAAATGGGATAAAAATTAAAAAAAAAAACAAAAAATTTTTTATTTTATTTTTTTTCAATTTTCGTAAATGATAAAAATCAAAAACGAGATGAATTTTAAAATTGACCTTCACAGCATTTATAAAATTAATCACAGTGTTTTTTTTTAATATTTAAAAAAAGGCAACCCATGTTGTTTACTTAACTGTTTATTACTTTTAAAACACTTATGCCACGCTACAATTCCGTTAAGTGTAGAAACAAAAAAAAATTTAACAAAGAATCTTTTTTTTTTCTGTGGTTTTTTTAAATTTATTTGTTCGCATATTCTTTTTTTTTTAATTTTTGTGAACATAGTTAGTTGATTTTCTATTTGTTTTTATTATGATTGATAGATGGTCGATGGTACTAAAAACAAATTAAATAAAAATGTAGTATTTTAGCATAATTACTTTTTAAAAGTTGTGACTTTATACCATGGTTATAATTATAATAAGCAGAAATACGATTGAAAATTTAATTAAATACTAGTTATTGTTTTTGTACGGAATTAACTTTTTGTTATAAATTAGTATTCAATTAAATAATGCTGGGAAATAGCAGTTCTATATTTGATGTATTAAGTAGATTTCTCGTTTCGCCGGTGCTCACATAAAATAAAGTGAGTTCAAGTTCAAATTAGCATATCTCTACTCCGGCTGCTATAAAGAACTAATGGAATTTATTTCGAAAAAACAAAATTATACCGCTTAATTACGCCTTACTATTGCAGGAAATCAGAGCAAATTTCAAAATATAAAATTTTTACTCTATTTTGGGAGAGGCTGAAAGGGAGACCTATTGTGAAAAAAAGCGAAAACGAGATTTGTTTTCACTGTTTTTATATACAAACTCATATCCTATGTTATTCACTTTTGCAATAAAATTCTCACTTACTAATTTTACCGGATAAATTTTCTATACATACACATGCAAATCAATGTCGGTTAAGGAGTTATTTGGAAATTTTGTTAAAAAGTCAACTCAATTGTCAATTTTATTTTACAAATTTCTCAAATTAAATCAACCGTCTTTACGGAACATACAAAATTATTTAAAAACGTATCCGTGTCACGTAAAATCAACGTAAGTGTACACTATGTTTTAATGTTTTAATTTTTAATTTATTCAAAATTCTCGAAAAATAATAATCCACATACCTACATAATATACATAGTTACATATATTGTATTTTTTTTGTAGAGGTTCTTAAACCCTTGAATACAGGAATTACTCGTATTCTAAGATATTTCTGCAAAAAAAAATTTGATTTATAACTTCATAAATATGTAGATATATTTAATATTTGAATAATATTTGCATGTCCATCAATATAAAATTTATGATTGTAAAAAATAAAAAAAAAATTTAAACTATTAAAACTAATAACGGTTCTTGACATAAAAAATCACTTGAACAAGACCACCAACATTTTTTTTTTTTAAAGACAAAAATATTTTTAGTGGTTTTTTAAATACTTTTCGTTCACATTTGTGATTATTTTTATACTGGTTATTAATAATTTTTTAGCTTTTTAGTTAAGCATTGATGCTATGCTCATCAATCATAATTTTTGTTATTTTCATCTGTCGATGATAAATTTTTAATAAAATTATTTAACACTTCCGAAATTTTTACTTTTTTTTTCTCATTTGAAATTTTTGACAAGATATTTTGACATAATGAATTAATATTTTTATATTAAAGAATAAAGCAACAAGAAGAAACCCACTATTATAGTGAAATATGAATAAAAATTTCTTTGCCGGAAGTTAAGAACTAGAGAATATAATGACATTAAGAAAGAAGACGAGGAATGATGCCAAATATTTATTACGGTGTTTAAATGTAAACAATTGCATATACATATGTACATTGTATGCTTGTGCATATACATACACTCATTCCCTTATAACTTTGATTTGACTATCCATCTATAGTGTTACAAGGAAAATTTAAATTAATTACGTAATTATATACAAATTATGCGAATGTTTATTTAATAAAAGCTGATATGCAATTAAATCTAGTATTGAATATATAATGGTGTGGTTATGATAAAATATAATTAAAATAATTTTGGTATTTTAATTGAAGCTAAATTTTACCCAAAACCAAAAATCATACAATCCTATGCATTTATACAATTATTTAGGTGCTCGTAGAATTGTTAATAATAAGTAATCAAAATAATTATGAAAAGTTAATAATAATTTTCCAATTACTAAAACCAACACAAATTCTTGAATTTCATTAGCATCAAAAAAATAGTTCGTAAATCGAATACTTTCATGAAAAAAGCATTATACATGCCTTTATGAAAACTGTCAATACTGGCATAAAAATTTTGAATTCGACTGACTTAATAAATCAAGTAGCTATATAACAATAAATGAAATAGACTCCAATACTAAAATGTTAAATATACAACCCACACTTCAACAATTAAATATTTTAAACCCAGCTTTTCAACGAAGCATAAATGTTTTTACCCTGTCAAAGCTTTTGTAAAAATATTCGCTACCATTTCATTAGTTGATAGATGTTCGATTTTAATTACATTTTTCGATACTAAACTCTTAATAAAATGATGTCATATATCAATATGTCGATTATTCGGACTAAATGTTTGAAATGAACGGATAAATTTTTCTTAAACGATGCCCAGCGAAGAACTATAAAATATTATTAACTAAATATTATAGTTATACGAGTAGTAGAAAAATAATGAAAATTAAAAATTTCACAAAAGTAATGTAAAATTTTCTTTTCTTTTTATATTTACAGGTACACAAACAGATGACAATAGGACAATTACAATCAGTATTTCATGTTGATAATATTGAATCTGTTCCAAAATATGAGCTAATACAATTGTTACATCAATTTGATGATGGTAATCAAAATGTATCACCATCTGAAGTTGTTGGTCATAGTGTAAGGAAAAGACGTAGTATTACAAATCATATGGAAATTAGTGGTAAAAATGTACATCATGTTAAAAAAGATTTAAGTAAATCACCATATTATAGTGAATTAAAACAATTAATTAAAGAACAAAATAATAAAAATAGTATAAGTGATAATAGTTATAGTGAGAAATTAAGAAATTTAGATTTAAGTGATTTAAAGGAGCATAATGTGTCATTTAGTGCATTTGGTGAACACTTAAATTTAACATTAAAAAAAACTGAAGGTTTATTTAAAGATGGTCCAAATTCATTACGTATGTGGACTGTACGTAGTGAACCAAATTCAACACAAGGTGTTGAGTATGAAGAAATTGTAGATGAGGTAAGTGTTTTTTTATTAAATAATTATTAAAATGTTTATGGGTATGTTTAATTCGGATTTACACAAACTTTTCTTTTAGAAAGGAAATGTTAAAAACTGACAATAAATTCAGTCAGGAAAAAAAAATTCAATCAATTTAAAAAAATTGGAGTACCTACATATATACCTACTTAGATTCTTTGGGATGAAATCCTGTTTAGTTGCTGTTATTTCTCACATTTATAGTGTTACTCCATTGGTACTCGACATCCATGGCCTCATCTGTTGTGTCCAATAATACGAATATTTTTTCACAACTTTTGTTTATTGCAATTCCTTTTATTTGTAAATAAAGCAATTTCTTGTTATTCAATTTCATTTTATAAATTTTGAATTTAAAAACAAAAAGTATTTTCCCATTTTTCAAATGTCATTCCATTACGGTTTTAAAAGTAAATAATTTAAAATTTACGCCAACGTTCGCGCAATAATCGTGTTTTTAGTAATATAAAAAAATTACTTAAATTTTTATTCCAAACGTTTGATGTTCTCTTTTGTTTTTCTTTAAATTTAACACCAGATTGTCTAATATCGAGTTTGCTCGATTGAAAATTTGTAAATGTGCATTAATATAATAAAAAGTATGTACCTAACTAATTGTAAAAAATAAAAACAAAAGTTACCAATTTTCAAAATTGAAAAAATTTTTTAAAATGTTGAATTATTTTATTGTGCAAACAAATACAATAAAGTAATAACAAAGAAAAAATTAAACACAGGAATAAATAGAGTTAATATTGCTAACTGTGAGATACCGTTTAATAAATATTTAAAACTAGTTTAAAACATTTTTGAAAAGAGTTCACAAAGCGGAAGCCAAGGCACATGTTAGGAATAACAAAAAATTTAACAAAATGCCGAAGATTTGGGACGTTTCTTTTAAAGTACTTTGATAGATATGAGCCAGTCACTAGGATGGTTCATACTGTAAACTTGAATGCGAACTTATTTGACCTACTAACATGTGTAGACCTATGTAGGTTTCAGCTGCAACCTCGAAAAAGGAATTGCAAACTACGAAATTTGTGAAAAATGGGAAGAAAAGTTGTATCTGAGAACTTACCAAAACATCATTATCCGAAAGAAAAAGGATAAAAACGCGGAGTTTGTTTGCGCTGAGTTTAAAAATTTATATGCATTCTATTGGTACTATTTCGTCAAGTAAAAAACACAAGCCTGAAAGGAGGGAGAGGGAGCATTTGTTTAAATTTCAATTTGATGAATTATTGAAGCTTGGATTGTTTTAACAGGTACCATGTGTTCCAGAGAGTTGCCAATTAGCTCCCTTCTGTATTACTACTTGAACATATCTTTCAAAGCGGTGTTCTTTTTTCCTAAAAACTATTAAGCCAGCCACAAAAAACATAAACAAATAATTTTCGGTCGCTAAAATTGACTAAGGCAGGTAAATTATCAAAGCAGACAAGTATAGAAGAAATTCATATTAGTTATACTAGCAAGTATATGATACCTGTTCTTTATAAATTAAGATTTCATGAAGGTAACAAAAAAATTGGAGTAAATAAGAAAAAGAAATATAAAAATCACGATCTCATTGTTTTTAAAGCGACATTTATCCATTTTTGTTGTTACTCCTTGCAAAATTTTAAAAAAATATTACGAAATTATTGTTTTGTTGCTCTATTATTTTTTAAAACAAATGGTTCATTTTTAACTTACATTTTATTTATTATTAGTATTTCTTTTTTCACTAAACACGTATGAGAGCCTACTTTTTAACTGGGCAATACTATATTTATACTTTTATTTCCTGGGCAAAATAAAATTTCGTGCAATTAGGTTTGTTTCTTATAATTAATTTCAAATTTTAATTGTAGGTTTTAGGCCTTTTTATTTTATTTCATTCAGTTTTGATGTCATTATTATAGGCTTTCAAATACTACCATTTTTATCCTCTAAGTTTTCTTTACGAATTAATTTGTTTTTTAATTAGTAATTTGAATTTAAAATTTAAAAACGTCGTTGAGATAACGGGAAATCTATAACTCATATAAAGAGAAAAATATCGTGGTATTTGTCAGTTTTAAGATGGGAACAGATAAATTACAAAAGCAATTAAAAATAATGTTAAATAATATGAATTTCTTAATTACATACTGAGTGAAAGAGAGAAAAGAAGGAAAAAATAAAAAAAGAATTGGGCAGTATTTTTGTATTTTGCCTTATTTTTGTATTTAATATAAATTTCAATATATAGATGGCGATGTGTATTACTCCAGTTAATTCATAATAAATTTGAAAATTACTAATTGATCTGAGCAGAAAATTTTCCATTCCATTTGAAAAACAAAATCACTATATTAAAATTTAAACCAATTCTAGAAGTTACGAGCAAATGTACATAAGTCAACTTAAGGATTTAATAAACCTACTTTATTTGACCATAAGTAATTTTTTGAATCGATATCAAGAAATTTATTAATTAAACCTTTAACAATGGTGGAAATATTGAGAACTAGAGTCTTTATTTTAATATTTATTTATAGTGTTGTCAAATAATTTCAACGCTTTAGTGTTGCAATTCGATTATTATCTCTTTTAATATTCAACACTAAATTATCGACTATAATAAAATTATAGAATCATTATTATTCAAGAAATTCACAATAGAAAAATAATAGAATCTTTAATTTGCTGTAAAAAACAAAAGTAATTAAAAATTGTTATAATTTTTTTTCTACTTTTATCTACATTTAACAGCAATTTAAGTAATTTGCCCCTGATTTGAAGTTAATTTATCCTAAAAAAATTACAAAAATTTTTAAAATTTCAAATTTTTCGAAAGAAAAATTTTTTTAATGCTTTATAAAAAACTTATTTTGAAATTTGAAACTTCAAAAAAAAAAAAATTATGCTATAGGAAAAAGCGAAAAAACTTTTTAAAGTTTAAATGTTAAATACTAAGACTCTACAACAGTCTAAAGTAAGAAAAGAAACGCGCAAAAAACATAAAATATAAAGAAAAAAAAAATGCAAAAAATCCAGTTTAGTAGAACGGAAAACGCGACTTTGTAGAATTGCTTAACTTTTGCTTATACATAATTACATGCCACTGTTATGTCTGATGCGGGAAAATAAACTATATGTAAGTGTAATATCAAAATATTGAATGAATGTATATGTTAAGTTGTGTTTTGCGTTGAATTTAAGACAGTGTTTTATACAAGTATCTAAGCAAGCATTAAAACACATAATAAAAATACATTTATTACGTGTACTCCAGCATAGTAATAATAATGTAGACAAGTGAACCATACCAGGTTAAAATGTTTATTAATTGTGAGGATAATTAGTTCAAAATTGTAATGAATATTATATAAGTATGTGCTTTGTTTTTAATTTTAAAATTTGCTGTGCTTTTTAAAAATGCCCTTTGTTGTTTTATAAGGTGACCCTATACTCTGTTGATGAGTGAAACAAATTTGCAGTTGTAAAAAACAATTCCAATTTGCAAGATCTACAGAAATGATAACAAAGCCAATTCTTTTCCAAGGTAAACATTCTGAACAAAATTTAATTAAAATGCGTGAAAAAGGATTGAAAAATGCCAGCGCCATTAACTAACAGTAGAGTAAAAAAGATAAATGCTTATATTTTAAAGCAATTAAGTGCGCCACTAAATTGTATATAATAAAAACAAAATCCAATTCTTCGAAGCATAGCGGAAAATTGCTTTGATCAAATAATTTTCATTGTTTGAAATATTCTATAATCATGAATGAAAAACTGCCTCATTTTCAGAATCATCCATAAGAGAAAATTTTTATTTTATTAAGTACTTCTAAATTGAATGTCTACCAAAAATTTTATTAATTTCTATTGTTTTACTTTAAAACCTTTTTAGTTTTTTATAAAAGTATAGTGAACTCAAACTGATAATTGAAAACCGCAGTAATCGATTTAAATTTATTAATTTCGGTATGTGAAAAAAGATTTCAATTTCTTTAGGAAGTCGACTGAAAAATCATCCCAAAAATTAAAAAAAAATGTAATAAATATTTTTTAAAAAATGCGATTTCTTTCAATATGAAATATTAAAATTATTACTTCTTTCGAAAATTTAATTTTTGAAATTGAACCGGGATAATATTAAGGAAGATCAAATTCTATTTTTATTATTTACATATTCAGTGTCTTTGCCAATGTCGAAGTTGTAATGTCATTACAGTTGTAATTGAAAAAATTTGGCATTGACCTTGACCTAATTTATGTAAATTCATTATAAATTTTATGTCAAAAAATTAAAAAAAAAATGTTCAAAAAATTTTTTTTATAATTGTATCACAATGTGACAATTTTAATAAATGCATACAGTAAATGAGAGCAGTTGAACTTAAAAAGAAAATATTAAAAGTATTGTTATTATACAAAATTCAGTTATTGCAAGAATTTACATAAACGTTTGAAGCTGATTTTAACTTTCCTAAACATTTGGCATCTGATTCACAATTAAAACCCAAATAATAAGATTTTATAGAATTTCTGTGATTGTTTCCTGTTTGTGCTTTATGAAAGTCGTCCAACTCGAATATATTTCGCTATAACATACAATTTATACTTAGACATCAGCTAAATACCGACAGCATTGTGCTATTTAAGAAATTTCACTACTTATCGTTTTTTAACATAACTTCTACGATGCTCTCAGGCTTTGTGATTTCTACTATTTTAATTTTTTTTTTAATTTTCTACTCACTTAGGAGTAGAAAATTAAAAAAAAAGTCTTTAAACTTACGTCTTTAAAGCTATACATTTAACTCGATTGTGTGTTAGTAGCTTTATTTTGAGCTATGTTCTGCAGTTCTCTTATATTGCTTTATTACCTAATCCTCGTATGACATCGTCTAATACCACATTAAACAAGAATTGAACGAGAGAACATCTTCAATCTCGCCGAGAGAACTCGGGTCTTCAATCTTATTGAATTGCTTAATTGGCTTTGTTAAGCGCTCCGCATCTTCATATAGTCATTTTATTACGTTGATTAATTTATTCAGAATGCTTTATTTTCTAAGGGTTGCCATATTGCTTTCGGTTGGTCGTACCAAAGGGGCTTCGAAATCCACGAGAGTGATATACAGTGGTGAATTCCATTCGACTGACTGTTCTGCGATTATTCGAAGTGTGGTCGATGCAATCATGACTCCTCCCGAATCCCACATTCCCCCTGTTCTTTTATTTTACTCTTAATTCTATAGTATATTATAAGTACCTTTACAGCTGCGTTAAATATTGTTGTACTCCTAAAGTTTTTGCAATTCTTTAAATCTCCTATTTTAGGTAGCTTTATTAAAATGCTCTTCCTCCATATGCAGCATAGTATTTGTTCTATTTGCCAGATTCTGTTAATTATTGGGTGCAGTATGTCTGTAATTCTATCGGGGTTTATTTTTAGTAACTCTGCCGGGATGTCATGGGCGGTTTCTACTTTGTTGTTTTTAAGTTTATTTTAATTATTTTATTAATTAAGGTTTAAACTCTTTCTGCTGCTGTAAATACTGTCGCTGACTGTGTAATGTTGGTTCTGGATAATGTTTCTGTTTATCCATTCAAAATGCTATTGCCACCTTTGAAACTGCTCTTGTGTAGACGACACTGGTTGGTACTGTCTGGTTTTTATTGATTGATTCCGATTCTTCGTCTTTTTTGATAGTATTCGCATGTTACTGTACAGTACGAGCATGTATTGTTGAGTTTTACTGCTTTTTGAGCTTCTGTGGTTACTTTGTAATAATAGTTTCTCTAATCTTTTCTTGCTGCTTCCTTGCTTCTTCTTTGTGGTTCTTGCTGCTGCTTCTAAATTTCTTCTTCAGCGATTTTTCGTATACATCCCACCACGATTACTAAGGTTTTTGTTTCCGCGATCATGCTATTGATACATGCTACCCGCAAAGTTATCTGCTCCATTTTTTCTTTCTAAGCCTCTGTTGTATATATTGAGCATGATGTGCGAACAGGCGACTAGGAAGTAAATAATTTCTTCCATAACAACTTCGAATTAAAAAAAATATATATAATTTAAATAACTTAATCTATTTTATACAATTAGCTTAATTGAACAAAATTCTAAATAAGTTTTTTAATAATTTCAGGAACCTAGTGCAAGTGAAGAGAGTCAAGTGGGTGAAGTATATCAAGATGAAAATAACATGGCAGCAATTTTAATGCGGCGACATTTACAAACTGGCGATTTAATTATGGTAAGAATTGTTTTATTGAGAAAAAGCTTTTTAGCTCAAATTATTAAGTTTAAAATTATTTTTGAATTGAACTTTTATTAGCTTAATATCAGAAAATTACAATAAAATATAAAAAGTAATTATGATTGTATTGTTATTCGAAAACTAATAAATTAAAAAAAAATTATTATTACAAGGCCAGTCCTTTGTGGTTTATACAAACCTATATATAAAAATTTTATTTATAATAAAAATTTTATATGCATTAGTGTCACGTGTTAAGACAACATTGCCTTTCAGTTATTTGGTGTCACCTAAAATAAGAAATTATATTTATAAAGTTATAATTTCTATTTAAATTTGAATCTTGCTCATGGCCGAAGTTTTCTTTTTAGAGAGTAAGTAAATGTAAGCCTGGAATAATTATATTCTTTGGCTGTTGTCATAATTACAACGTCTAGATTAATCAAATATAATGTCAAAAATATTAACTTTTTCAACACATTTCTCCATGCTAAAACTATCAATATTTGATAATCTCTTGACAAATTTGGTAGAACGCCTTCGAGAGCTCCTCTAATCCATTAAACCGAATCCATAAAGTTTATCAACTCCTCCCACGGCAGAAGCAGCGAACAGTAAATTGTCGTCGTCATGTTATCCATATATCCTAGAGTCCCATTTCCATGCAGAATACTGTAGTATGAACTGAATTAAGAATGGATTCAAGTAGATTGAAAATTTATTAGATTACATCTAGTAACATACCGTTTATTTCATTTTTAATAAACAAGTAGCAGGTAGCTATATCGGTATATCTTATGCCTGTTAGAAAAATAATTATAACAAATATAAGCATTGACGTATGCAATAAGTGATTCGAGAAAATTTGCGAATTGAAATAAATTCTTTTCGGAAAATTTCACAACTCAAAAATCTAAGGTCCGATCATGAAATTAATTTCTTAATTTCATGTATGGCTTCAACTCTGAATTATTTTTAAATTTTATATTGTCTATTTACTTCAAACGCAATAAAACGTGTATGTTGATTTTATTTTCAGAAAAACAAAAATATTAATGTCAAAATCGTGATTAATCAACATGAAACAAGTAATTTGTTCTAATTATAAAATTAATTCGATATCGAAAGTATGGCCTATTGCAGTTATGATTGTTACCAATTTATGAAAATTTTACTATAGGTACTTACCATTTTTATTGTAGAATTTCAATTTATTTCGTTAACAAGCCTGATATCTTTTATATTATGACCTTCAAATATATTAAACAAACAAAGTTAATAAATAATGTACCATAAGTCACGGAAATATTATGGTTTGTATAACTGATAGTAATTATATTAAGCAAACTTTTAAAATATTGCTATATTAAAAAAATTGTAATGCTACTTTAACAGTAGTTTGTGTACAAAATTTATAACTAGTGAATTATTCATTTTTACTAAAGTTAGCATCATCAGTAGCTTTACAGCCCGGTATGAGCCCTAGCTTGATTAACAATTCTCCTCCACCCTTCTCGATCCGTTGTTAGTTGCTGCCAATTTGTTATATTCATTTTACGCAAATCTTCTGCTACGTCGTCCTTCCATCTCAACCTTGGTCTTCCAATGTTTCTTTGAAAAAGTGGTCTTGCTTCGAAAATTCTTTTTGGAGCCCTTGATTCATCCATTCGATTGAGATGTCCCAGCCACCTTAATCTTTGAGATTTGGTGAATCTTACTATATCCTCATTTTTTATAAGGTCCATTAGTTCTTGATTTGATCTTATTTCATACTCATTATATTCGTTCAATCTTGGTCCAAAAATTTTCCGCAGTATCTTTCTTTTAAAGTTTCTCAGATTATTTATATCATATTGCGTTAATGACCACGTTTCAGCACTGTAGCTGAATAGGGCGTAATGTTGTTTTATATAGTTGTGTTTTGCACGATTTTGATAGAATTTTGGATTTAAATAAATGTGCAATGGAGTAGTAAGCCCTGTTAGCTGTTAATATCTTTTGTTTTATGTCTTTTTGTATGTCATTACTAGCATTTATTTGCGCACCAAGGTATGTAAAATTTTCAACTATTTCAAAATTGTATCCCATCATGCTTATAGTTTGGTCACTTCTTCGTAGTTGGGATCTTGATATCAACATATATTTGGTTTTTCCTTCATTAATCTTCAAACCCACAATTGCAGCGTTTTCGGCAAGTTTGGCAAAAGCTTCAATTAGATGTCTTTTATTTCTGGACATCAAGACTATATCATCTGCGTAGGCACACATTTGATAGGAACGTGTAAATATAGTGCCACCATTATTTAATTGTTTTATTGAATGATGCAACATCAGATTGAATATTATTGAAGAGATTTCATCTCCTTGTTTAACTCCAGACTTAATTTCAAAGGCGCTTGTATATTTATTTTGGATACGAACTTTCGCTGTTGTGTTTCTTAGAGTCATTTCAACAAGGAGTATAAGTTTTTTCGGTATACCAAGTTGTTCAAAGATTTGTCGAATTTTATTTCTTTTGATTGAGTCAAACGCTTGTTTGAAATCTATGAAAACCATGTGTAGATCGATGTTGTATTCTGCACATTTTTCCATTGTCTGTCTGACGTAAAAAATTTGGTCAACAGTTGATTTTTGTTCTCTGAAACCACATTGATAATCGGTTAGGATTCCTTCTGAATAAACTTTTAGTCTTCTAGCAATTATAGCAGCTAGAACCTTATATGTGACGTTTAGCAGCGTTATTCCCCTACAGTTAGACAATCCTTCTTTTTGCTTGTATTTATTATGCGCCAATCTCGTTTTTCTTTGCATCCACATAATTCTAGCATCGTTCCTCTCTTTTATTGCATCCTCACATTCTTCATCAAACCACTCTTGCCCAGCGCGAACTCTTTTAACTCCTAGACATTCTTCAGCAGCCCGAATTAAATCATTCTTTGTATTATTCCACATTTCTTCAATATTCACTTCTTGCTACTAAAGTTAGCAAATTGTTAAATTAGCAAAGGCTCAAACACAATCATAGGAAACTAATATTTGAAATATAGTATCTCTTTTGGATTGTTAACTTAATTGATTCGAGTGTAAAAATCCTCAATTTTCTTCTCAATTAAAAAAAAAATTTAATATAATTACAAATTGAATTTTAAACTACGATAAGCGGAAAATCAATGAGTTGAGCTACTTTATTATCTGCTATATTGTAGTACACAAAAATCAGCTTAAAATCTGCTCATGTAAAAGAAATTTGTGTATTCATCACATTTTACGGAATTCATATAAATTGCAAATATTCTTGCATAATTTTTGATACAAATTACTTATATATCTATATATACCTAATTTGTTGGGTTAAAATGTAATCATTAATTATATGTACACGGTATACCAGATTATTTCGTAATTTTAATCTTAATTTTTATAACAAGTTCTAAATATGTTGACCAAAAATAATTTAAAATTTAATTATAAAAAACGACAAATTCTTTTAGTTAAAGTTTATATGCATCGGTATTTCAATAGAATATTTGCCAATTTTCGTGTCCATTAATTAAACCATATATGGTATGGCCACCACCATCCTTGTATCAATCACTTTTCATTTTAAAATCTTGTAAAATTTTTAAACATTGTAAATTTTCATGTTATTTATAGGTTAGGTTTTAAATAATATAATTATTATTTTGTGTTAATATTAAAAAAACCAATCATCTTTCAAAAAGTCGCAAAATAAATTGATTCCCATCATAAAAAATTCAAAGAAGAAGAACTTGTTTTAATTAATTGTGTATAACATTACTATCAAGGCTATTACCATCTCTATACCATCTCTAACTTTTAATAATTTTAAATTGAAGAAGCAAGTAATTTTTGAATTCTTTTTGTATTTTTTTTGTATTTTTACAAACAAAGTTTATTTTATCATTGTACTACTTGTAATAAATATTTATACGAAAAATGTAATTGTTTAATTTTAACTGGTCTCGCCGACTATTTGATTAGTTAAACGCAACTTTCACCTCTCTTAATTTAATTTTATTTTTATTCAAGTGTTGTCGTTTTAATATCGTACATATTGCCAGAATAACGATATGTGCCGCAATATCTTTATTTCTTTTTGGTTAGTAGAGGTAGTATGTGTTACAACTATATTTCACGATAATAAGGTACTGACGCTTTAACAAGGAAATTGTTTTGAATTCTACGGAAAGCTTAAAAATTTCTGTAACGAAGGTTCAATCTGAATGCCATTACAATAAGGTAACTGGGAACACCCAACTGGATTCGTAACTTGGATAACTGTCTTGCTGGGGCTGGCGGGGCGCCCGGGGTGCTGGTTTGGTGAATGTATCGGTGCGTCTGAAGCTGAGGGAATTCATTAATATCATATATAAGAAAACTAAAAGGAGAAGCGAAATTTTCTGGGCGGCGGCCTACACATGCGGAGCCGCCGGAGTGCTGTGGCCTTTCAAGAATGAGAAAATTGCGAAGGTCTTTTTGATTTAATTTGGGGGCAGAGCTTTCTTGTTGGCACAGCGCATGGGCTTCGAGTCGTTGTGAGGTGGGATTCTCGTCTTTTATTAAGAACTAAGAATGCAACTTGGAAAGAAAGTGTGAACAATCTTCCAAGGGTGGAAAAAGAAGGGTGTAGAAATCTTTCCAGTGATCTTATGTGCTAATATTGTAGAAAGAGTAAAAATCAATCAAATGCGGATTCAAGACGACAAAAACAAGCTAGTAAAAAAACTAAAAGTGTTATTTAAATATTTTGGCTTCCTATTACACTTCTATTATATTATATTAGAAACGAATGTTGTTGTGAAGTTTTGAGTGATTTATACTTAGAGCTTAATAATTTTTTAACATTTGCCAATGTTTGATTTTTTTTGCATGTGCGAATATTAATGCACATGCAATATAATCTAATGAAAATTTGAAAAAAAAAATATACACCAATATTGGCTTTATACTATTAGAAGATTCATCAGTAAATTTTTTTTTTTAATTTAATGGAGGTGATTTTTTATTATCCCCGTTAAAAACTTCAATAACAGCAACTTTTCTTTTTTTTATGCAATTGTGCAGATTGTTATTTAATTTTTTTTGCTTTCTGCTATATTTTTATATTTTTCTTTGGTTGCATTAATATTAAACATAAAATGAACAGTTATCTGGATGTTGTATTTAACAATAACGAATATAGTTTTTTTTTTAAATTTTTTATCTAATAAATGAATAAATTAAATTTGTTTGGTATACAGTGGATTTCAAAATTATTAAATTACTTACATTATTGGCTTAAACTTCATCTAAACTTAACTGAAATTCTTATTTAATGAACAGATGATTTCAAAATGCTTGCAAGTACCTTATCAAGGTTAAACTAGATCTATACTAATTTAAATATGAAATTTTCGATGATTCAATATAGGTATAAAAATTGCTTCAATTACATACGCCATCTTATTATCCATTTTGAAAATAAATACAGGAACCCTCTGGTTTTTAATTGTGAAATTATGAAATTTTCGTATTTGACAAGTTGACTTCAGTGATAAACAATACATTTTATTAGAATATAATAAAAACCTTTTTTAAAAGAAAAAATGTAGTTTAAACTTTGTTCATGTATAGAATTATAGTGTCACCTTTTTGTGACTCCTCTTGGCTCTAAAAATTTAGGTTGTTTTAGTTCTTGGTCTTAAATAAGGTTCAAATAAGCTTCTCAATTTACTCTAAAAATAATATTTTTTAACTAATTTAATATTTTTCACCGACAATATTAGCCTGATGCAAATTTCAATTTAAATTTTTTTTTGGGTATCGCAAATTTATAACCAGATTTTACTGTTTTTATTAAAAAAATTAAATCACTTGATTAACAGCATTTAATTGGAATGTGGTTATTTTTGATGTACAGAAAGGGTATAAATAATATAATAAATGAAGAAAAAAAAAAGATGCTTTAACGGCATTATAATACAAAAGAAAAAAAAATAGTTTTTTGATTTTTCTGATGAATAATGCAATTATAGCTGTACTCTAGACACATAACAAGCTGCAATAAACGAAATATTTGAACCTTTTTACATAATATAAATAATTTAAAAAGAAAAAACACACACGCATCAAACAATTTTAAGATTAGGCGATAAAATCGTTTTGAATTTCTGTTGTTTTGTATAATCATAGGTTTAGGTATAAAAATTTGCCTCACCTATAAATTAATTTATGTACAACTGTTAGACAGCATCAAACTGCTTGAAAAATAAATTTAAGTTTTGTTCTAATCAAAAAAAATCTTTTTTTTAATTTCAATCGATTGCACTCATCAGATTTTTAAGCGTAAGTTTGTCAAAATCGTTAAATAAATATTTAATATGTCCAATTTATTGCAAAATTTTAATTATAGATCTAATAAATAATCTCATTATGACTAAAATAAGTGAATAAATAACGATCCATATATCATACTTGATAATACTTGCTTTCTGCAAATTTTTTTTTACAAAATGGCGTAACAACAGAAATTTAACTCTCTTGGTTATTTTAAATGTAAACAAATATTCAATTTAAATGAATGAAATCGATTAAAATCGAAAATTCATTGAAATCGAAAACATTAAAAATTGGTCAGATGAGATTATTTAGATTATTAAATCGATTATTTGTACCGATTAATTTGATTTAACTATTTGTTATATTTTTTAAGTATCAAATGCCATTTAAACCTCAAATTTACTTGCCTTATGTTTTGCTTGTTATTATAAATTATTCAAAATTGTCATATAATAATAATTTTTTTTGTAAATATCATTTTTTAGGAAGGAAGTATTGGACATGAATTAGTAATAAAACCTTTACCACATGAATTAAGTCCTAATAAAGATAAAGCACATCATGTTATATATAAGAGATCTTTAGCAGAAAATGATCAATTAAGTGATTTTGGTAAGTACCGGTACCGACATTTACAACGATTAAAAAAGAAACAAATTGCATATAAAACTTCATTGATTGCCTAATCAATTTGCCAACATTAATGTAAAATCAACTAAAATTAATGAAGTTTATAGAATTCATTATTAAATGATCTCCGTTTTTTTTCTAGTTGAATAATTTCAATCATATTTATGCATGTATATTTTTAATCGAATTTTTAATAAAATTATTTTAGCTTATATGGAACCAGATCAATTTGAACAACGTTACCGAAAGAAGAGATCATCAAAATCATCACAATCAAAATGGTCAGATAGTGATGATGATTTGATAGCATCCGAAACAAATTTAGATAATTCAGAAATACAAGGAAATTTAGAAAATGATAAAACATCATCATTAAATGCAGAACAGGATGATGCAGAAACAGCAGAATCACGTAGAAATAAACGCGCAGCGCCATATATTATCTATCCAGAAATTTTAGTCATCGTGGATTATGATGGTTACAGATTACACGGTGGAGACAATGTTCAAGTAAGCGAAATATTCTTTTTGTATTTATTCATATTAACAAATTATTACATAATGTAAAGGTTAAGATTAATTAAATATTAAATTCAAATTATTATTTGTTAAAAATTCAATAATTTTTTGGAAATTTTATATTCTCTTGTAGTTAATTAATATTACTATTATTTTAATTTTTAGGTTAAAAGATATTTTGTATCATTCTGGAATGGCGTTGATCTTAGATACAGATTATTGAAAGGTCCAAGAATACGTATCAGTATAGCTGGAATTATCATTTCAAGGGTAATTAAATAAATAACACGTCAAGTTTCATATATCCCATTTCCACCTCATTGACTTGAACTACCAAATAAAGCAAATAATATGAACTTAATCTTTTTATAAAAAAAATTTTCTTTTACTTTTATTTGAAATACGATAAATTGTCAGCAATATTAATTATACATATAGCGTTTTACACCTCATTTACACTTACCATTTTTGAGTAAATTTTTTCACAATTAATTTGTATCATTTATTTCTATAAAATATTTTATTTATTAATTTTTTATTTATGTACGTATTTTAGGGTAGAGATGCGACACCATATCTTGAAAGAAATCGTGTAGGAAGAGATGCGATTGATTCTGCTGCAGCTTTAACGGATATGGGAAAATATTTATTCCGTGAAAGGAGATTACCTGTTTATGATATTGCTGTTGCTATTACAAAGTAAGTTCATAGAACTTTAACATTTACAAATTATGATTTTGTTGAAAAGTTAAATTCTTTTTAAACTTTTCAAATATTAAAAGGAATATTTTACATACATATGTATAAACACGTATATATAATATGAAATAAGGAACGATTTGTAAGTATATTATACTAAATATATAAATCCCATTAAATAAAAATAAAAACTATATTATGTAGTAATGCAGAGCAACAAAAATATTCTTTTAAATTGACTGCGGATTTGGATTATTTAAAACCAAAAATATTAAATAAAATCAAGTATATTTTTTTAAGTAGTCTACTACTTCAGTATTGTAGGTTTTCTTAAAAATTATTGTATTTCCGAGGAATAATTGTTTAAAATCTACTATTATGCATATATATGAGGATTTATAATATTTTATTAAACCCAATGAATTTTTAAAATTTTTAAAGTCTTTCCCTCTAAGCGAGATATGAATTGCTTTACAATTACCAAGATCCTTCATGAATTGTCAAAATAATTTTTAGTCTATGGTTGTTATTTTTGCAAACATTTTGAGTTGATTCTAGTGTCGTTCATTTCAATTCGCAATTATTGAAGTATATTTTTCAAAATAAAGTATAAAAACGGAATATATCAAATTAGATTGGAATAAAATATATTTCAATTTTCGGAAAACTTTATTTGGCTTTCATATTACCATTGTGTATACACTATACACTAATAGTGATATAAACAATGATATTACCAAATACCAGTCCTTTATTAAAAAACGATTGGTTTTTAATACAGAGATTTTACCCTATCATAAAGTATGCATCCGAAACTTATGCAATTTTTCTAAGTTTCTTAAACATTGTATGATTATTTCAGTTTATAAATAAATTAAAATTAATTAAGTTAATAGAAAAATTAAAAAAACAAAAAAAAATTAACATACAAGCAAAAGCAAAAAACAAAAATTTATTAAATAATTCACAGGTATGATATGTGCCGAAGGCGAAAAGGTGGACGCTGTACAAAAGGCACTGCCGGTAATTTTATTGAAAAAAAAATTTGTTTTTTTTTTTTTAATTCTTGTAAAGAACTGAAATTTAAAATGAAAATTTCTCCCCAAAAAAAAAACAAACTTTTTTTTTATTAATAGAAAACCCCATTTCCATTCCGCCATTTTGAATTCACATTTTCCACAAAATTATGAGTTTTATTCGTATATTTTGTTGTTTCATTTTTTTTTTAAATATGGTAATTGGTTTATGCATACATCTAGAGTTTATTAGTTTTTGGTTTTTTGCAATTTTACAACATTAATTATAAAAATATATATTTTAAATAAACATAATATATTTTACATATAAATGACATGTAAAATGACATTTTAATTTAACATAACACACATCACAATGAAAACATTATTGTAGCAAAATTACATTGCAAATATATACATTTATTATAATTTTTGAGACTTCACACATAAACAATAGTACACTTAATACATAATATACTCGATTAATGTTGTTTAATAATAATTTAATTCTCGGAGCTTTTTGATTCTGGTCAAAGTGAAAGTTGTAATGTTTTTGTAGAACTGAGATGGATTCCAAACCCTCAAATAACATTATTTTACTTGCATCATAATAATATAATATACATTTATACATATATCAAAATATTTATATACTAAATATTAATATATAAATAAATATACTAATTTAGAAATTTTTAATTTGATGAATTTAGTGCAACAACATTTCTTATTATTAAAATATAATTTTTAGATTTTATTATAATATTATTATTTCCATTTATAGTAGATTTTTTTTACATATTAATAAACTAACTTATACATATACATATATATATTTACTATAATATGAAATATTTATAAGATATAAAAATCGAATAAAATTTGAATTATAAATTTGCAGACTTGATATGTGCAGAAGAAATTATGACTACGGTGAATGTAAAAGAGGGACTGCAGGTAAAAAAATAGTGAAAAAAAGGATTTCTTATTCTTTTCAACTCTTGTTTTCATGATTGTTTTTTCTTAAATGTCCTTTCTATATAGTGTTTTTTATATTTTTTCCTATATGTTTGAGAAATATTTTTATTATATTTCTCTTTATTATTTTTCTACCTTTTTAATTTACTTTTATAAAATTTTCTTTTATGATTATTATTGTCTGTAAATGTCTGCTTTTCTATATATGAAGTGCAATATATATAAATACAATAAAGTGTGATGATATTTTAACCCTTTCGAGGCTATCAGATCCAATCCTTGGATAGATAATTTGATCTAGTAATCAATATTGTGTGAAAAGAGATTGGGCACGAAAATTGCAAAGATAGCAAAAACTGTCATATATAGTTCTTGTCGTGCAGATCAAACGGTAAAATCAGAATTTTCTTTTCATAAAGTAAAATTTAATTTTGTGTAATAATTTTTTAGTTTTAATATAATTTTGAATTAGTAAAAACGTGTTTCTTTTCAAATTAATTTTATAATATTTAATTTTTAGTAGTATTGATTTCTTTATACATATTATAAAATACATTATAAAATATTCTAAAAATAATTAATACATAAAATGTCAACGTATAAACTTTGAGCTCGAAAGGGTTAAAAAACAATGTAGGATTATGTAAAAATTATTGAATAAAACGCACAAAAACGAAAAATAAATAAATTAATTGGACGACTTTTCTGTTTTACAACTATAAATTTTATAAATAAAATTTCTTTTGTGAAAGGTGTAGTCATTTTCTATATGTACATATATATGACGTGTGGTATGTAATTAATATTCTACAAACTGTCTGATAAATTTCTTATTAAATTTCATCTATATTTATTTCTGTGATAACGAAACTTAATATAATTAAGTTCAAAATCATTAAGTTCGCATTGAAAATCGAAAAATCGTGATTTTTATTGGAGTATCCCTTAAATAATGCCAGAATCACAAGTATAAATATTAAGTTAAATATTTCGATTACCTATCACATTTAAGCTAAATGTGGGAACTCCTATATCAAATCATTTATCCTGTCAATATATTTCGTATTTCATGATTGTTATAAATATTTTCATTATATGAAATATCAAAATATTGAAGGATTTTTTTTTCATGAATTTTATTTTAAATATTCTAAATAATGTTCAGAATGAAAATTTATATTAAATCTTATACTTGTATTCAAATTTATTTCAGAACTTCGAATTTTTGTTCGAAATTATGAAAATGAAAATTTGTTATGTCAATAGATAAGTAATTTAATAAAATTCCGATATGAGTCACTTATATCAAAAACCAATAATATATCAAAGAACTTGACATAATTATAGTGATTCATAAGCTTTCAACTAGTGTTTTGGCCCCCTATAAATATTTAAGGTACTATAAAAGAAAATAATTTAAATTGTAATCATTAAATTCACCATAAATCATTGATGAGGGGCAGTATTATTTTGTTTATTATAAAAAATGATGTTTAATCACTTTGATCTTTATTTTTTTTTTGGGAAAATTATTTAAAAAAAAGTAAATATTTATTTCATTATTTGCTACTAACATACATGTATATTAAGGTTTACTAATTATTTATATTTTGCATTTTCTCATCCTAAATTTCACACATTTTCTTATACATTTGGTTCTATAAGGTTTCTTTTCTTTAAATGGTGTTAAAAGTTCAAATTAAAATGTAAGTTTTAGATTTAACACGTAAAACTCTTAACTTCTACTTTACAAAATCAAGAATTGTATATTGAAAAAATAAATTATTTACATTTTATACAAATGTTAAACTATTTATTAAATTGGCCATTGTAACGCATAAAGTTGTCATACCACAAACCTTTTGTCAGTTAAATATTTAAAATAAACAAAAATTGTCTCCACCTAGCAAGGTGCAATACAATTTTTGTTAACTTTTCAAGTTTTAAAAGGTTGGCGTCCATGGTATAAAAGTAGAATACGTAATTAAAAATTAATTCAGTTAAATTGAAGTGTCAATGAATTTGTAAACAAACATGGCTGATTTAATATTGTTTTCCAAAATCAAATAAAATAATAAAAAAAAATTCTTAATAAAAAATAAAATATTTAATTTTTTTATTTAAAAAAAAATATACAAAATTAAGGATTTGCTTATGTTGGAGGTGCATGTGTTGTAAACAAACGTCTTGAAAAAGTCAATAGTGTTGCTATCATTGAAGATACTGGTGGTTTCAGTGGAATTATTGTAGCAGCACATGAAGTTGGTCATCTGTAAGTGCTACACAAATAAATAAAAGTAACTTTTTGATATTAATTAAATTTTCATAATGTTTAATTTATAATATAGTTTGGGAGCTGTTCATGATGGCTCACCACCACCAAGTTATTTGGGTGGACCAGGTGCTGAAAGATGTCGATGGGAAGATGGTTATATTATGTCAGATTTAAGGCATACAGAAAGAGGATTCAGATGGTCACCATGTACAATACAAAGTTTTCATCATTTTTTAAAGTATATACAAGAAAAGTTAAAACAATAAACTGTAGTTCAATTTTTTTTGAAGAAAAACAAAATAAAATAAAATTTAATTATTAAAAATTTAATTATATATTTATTGTAGTGGTGATACAGCAAGTTGTTTACATAATGCTCCACATGAAGATAGTGCTTTAGGACGTTCACTACCAGGAACATTGTTATCTTTAGATGCACAATGTCGAAGAGATCGTGGAACATATGCTTGTTTTAAAGATGATCGTGTTTGTGCACAATTATTTTGTTTTGATTCACAAACTGGTTATTGTGTAGCATATAGACCAGCAGCTGAAGGTTCATCATGTGGCAACGGAGTGGTATATTGAATATGATTATTTAAATTTTAATAATTTTATTTCTACACACACTTATTCTTCTTTATAGAACATACATACATATTATATACAATTTTCATATTTGATAAATTAATATTATGTTTTTATAAAATTTTATTTTTTAGTATTGTTTGGATGGCAGATGTGTAGCACAACAACCGAATACAATACCAGATTATTCGTCACAATTTGCATATAGGACTTATAAGTAAGTTTAAAATTTTTATTAATTTATAATTTATTATCTGTGTTTTATTTTATTATATTTATTAAATTTATTGTAATGTTTATATTAATTTTGTTAAAAAACAAAAAAAAAAATTACATAATATTGGGATTTATTATTTCGATAATTTATTAAAGTGAAATTTTTTTCAAAGTTTTTGGAAATGGTTTAATATGTGACACAATTGACGTATTATGTAGGTAGTGTTATTATTGTACCATATAATATTGTGTGACTAACAAGAAAATTTTTTAATACTTTTAATATTTAATAATAACATTTTTATATAATTATTAAATTATGTATTATATATTTGAAATAAACTTTCTGGAGATCTCAAATTTAAATTTGATTAAATATATCTTAATGGAAAATGAAAATTTTTTTATAGTTAAATGAAGACTGACATCTAGACCTAGAAAGACTGACATATCAACATATAGTATTAAAATAGTCAAAATATTTGGTACTTTCATAGTAGACTTTAAAACTAAAAATGAAATGACTGATTATGGCGTAGTATAACTGATTTTAAGAAAGATGGTTTTTTAAAGTTTAAAGTTACTTATAATATTGAATTTTTACTTCTAAATCATAAAGCACAGGCTATTAGAGATTTCTTTAATTTTTAAGTACTGACACAATAATTGCGCGTTTTCACATTATCCTGTAAGATCTCATTGTATACAGAGTAATTTTAAATTGCTTCGTATTATAATACATAATAATTATAAATTTGTTATAGAATTTTTCATTTCGGAAAATTAAATGATCTAACACTGAAATTAAATTCACTTAGTTTACAATATGACTTAGGCACAGTAACAAAAACAGAAAACAATACAATTATACCATAAATACAAACGTTATATAGAACGAAATTGTAGATAATCATGTATGTACATAACTTAATATATAGAAATTCATAAAAAACCTACTGTAAAATTAAAAACAAAAAAACAACAACTTGTTACTAAAAACTGATAAAAAATTTTATTAGAATTTTTCATTTTCAAAAACAATTTTGAAAAAAATTTTATATATACCAACATAAAATAAAATAAAAACGAGAATTAGATAATAAATCGAAATATTTCAAAAGTTGTAAGTAATTTAAAATTTTACAAAATAATTTTAAAACATTTTCAAATATTTTATATAAATTTTCTTTCAAATTTGACAAAAAAAAAACACACTTTAACACTAAAATATTATTTGAAACAACAACAACAAAAAAAAAACAATGTTTTTTTTCCTCTTAAATCCAAATCAAATATAAAACACCAAATATATATATTTATAACTTATTAATACCAACTACAACAACAACACCATTATAAATCATCGACGCGAATTTGTAATCAACTCTTTACAACAAATCAAATAAACATAAAAAACAGATACAATAATAATAATAATGATAAAACCGATGATGATAACGATGATGAAAATGATGACGATGATGATGACGATGATGACGATGATGATGAAATTATTGAAAAAATTAATATTGATAATAAAAGTAACAACGAAAATAATGATCAAATTGATTTACAAAATTTACAAACAGCCAGTCCAATTTATAAATCATATTTAACAACATCATCGTTAATCAAAATTCCATATAATAATGAAATCACAACTACAACAGCAAAAACGATCATTGATACGAAAATAATAACAGGAACTGAAATTCCATTTAGAATTTCTTATACACCTGATATTGAAAATAATTCTTATACAAAATTTCATATATTAGCACCGCATACAAATAGAATGCATCCATTAACATTAGTACAACATAAGAAAACGACATCAGATGATGTTATAACTGCAAGGGATATAACGACAACTATAGCAACAGCAACAATAACAACTACAACATCTAAACCCACAGATATATTAATTACACAAAAACGTCCTACAATACACCAAACACACACGCCATTACATTATAATTTTTCGAAAATATTTAATAAATCATTTCATTCAAATACAAATATCTCTAATCATTATTATTATAATAATGATAATGATAGTAACAATAACACAAAAAAACTATCAATAATATCACAACACAATCACACATTAAATACATTAATTAATAATGATAATAATAATAATAAGAAAAATAATAGAACAACATCAATTAATAATTTTAAATCATTATCGCTAAAACCAATACGTTTGCGTAAACCATTTGATTATTATTTAAATTTATATAATATTAAAAATCGTAATATTCATAATAATGGTCATTATTATAATAATAGTTCAACAACATCATCATCATCCTCCTCAATTAATTCTTCTATACATAGTTCAGCAACAACTACACCAACAATAACTACATTATTAGCTACAACAACAACAGCAACAACTACAACTAATACGGATGATAATAATAATAATAATAATAATAATCACAATAATTTTAATATACCAACACCAAAATATTCAAAATTTACAAAATTAATTCGAAAACAGCATTTTGAAAAATATAATTATGAAACAGAAAACAATAATAATAAAGACAATATAAATATAAATATACATAATAATGATAATAATAATAAACAACAAAATAATGATAATGATAATAATAATAATAATGATAATTCTGATGATATTATTGATCCTGAAACAATATTGGAATTAAAAAAAGAAATAAATTTGAATTTAAACAATAATGGCAATAATAATAATAATAATAATAACAATAATAATGATAATAATCCATTAAATACAAATTCACATCATACATCAACATCACCAACACATAGAAGTTATATATTTGGTGGTCGCTCAACAACACGTAGCCTATATTTTGATCAATATTATCGTAAATTAACAACAACAACAAAAACCCCAACATATTATATTGAAAGTATTGGTCAATATTTTAAAAAAACAAGTATAAGCTCTAGTACAAGCAGTAGTACTGGTAATACTAATAATAATAATAATAGTAATAATAATAATAACAATAATAATAATGATCATAATACTACTATATTACCACAAAGACAAAATAGGCAACAACAACAACATCATCAAGAATTAATATCTGATTTACATGTGATACCAGCTACACAACATCAGAATCATCCATCAATATCAACAAATTATCTTGGTGATAATACAAATAATTTACCAGTTAATATATCAGTTCCAGATCGAAGGATAGAATAAAAAAAATAATAAGCACATAAAATATTTTTCATTTTATTATCGTATATATATAGAGATTTGAACATGGAGAAGAAGAATAAGAAGGAGAAAAAGAAAATCACATACAATTTCATATGTCATTAATTATTTTATTACTATTATTATATTCTTTATCGTAATTATGTTTAATTTAATTTAATTTAAAATATTTTAATTTTTTTTTACAATTTTTAAATTATTATCATATAACAAAAAAGAAAGAAAAAAGCCAACAAAAAAAAGGACAACAATAATATCAACTAAAATTTATTGATTAATTAAAAATTAATAATTAATTATATTTTTTTAATTATTATTTTCATTATGTGTGCTCTACAAATTCATTATATATTGAAAACTGTTAAACGTATTTAAATATATACATATATATATATATAAATATATATATATATATATATATATAACTTTACTTGTTCTTGTTTTTCAACAATATGTGTGTAAAACAAAAATAAATGTATATAAAAAAAAATAATAATAATTATAATTTCAAAATTGTTTTTTCATCGAATCGAGTACAAAAAATTAAAAATGTATAACATCTACAAAAAAATCTCCCGCCTAAAAACAAAACACAACTACTACATATTCAAAAAAAAAATTATATTTTATAATAATCAAATATTGCGCGCTAAAATAAAATCGGGTAAGAAAATTTCTACAAATTTAAATTATTAAAATTAAATTTTTTTTAGAAAAAAAAATTTTAATAAATAAATAATTAAGCAATATTATTAATTTAAAATCAATAAAACATTTTAAATAAGTTAATTATGCATTTATAGCTAAAATAATTATTAATTTGTAATTGGCCATTAGCGCTCGCAAATATCACACACACAAAAATTGAACAAAAAAATACACATTTTTTACATAAACCAAAACACACATACATCTACACAAAATGTTGATTATTAAATAGTTTTGTAATTTATTCTTTGAAAACTAACATTTTAATGTAAAATTAGAATATTTTTTTGGTTAAACTTTCTTAAAAGTATATAAGAAAACAGAACAAAAATTAAAAGAAGCTACTCGTATTCAGGATACTCGTATATATTCGACAGTAAATCGGATATGTCAAAAGTGTCGCACAGTTATAGTACAATAATAGTACGAAAATTGGCAAAAATGGTGATTTTACGATATTTGTTTATGGATTTTTATAAAACGATTTTTTCAAACAAATTTGAAATTCAACTCACCATAACATTACTGCTTCATATCGAAATATTGCAGTACTTCGAGATTTACTTTAATGTATGAACCAAATTACATTCAATGTGTTTTGCTAAAGATTGTTAAGATGAAGCTATATCTATACTTAGATACAACGGGTTCGCTATTTATTGTAGCAAGTATCGTTTTTCAAAACAAATTTTTCTATAAAAAGAAAAAAATTCTTTGTTAATCTTTTCTAATCGTAATCTTCTAATATCGTAAAAATATGAGCAATTTTTGAAATCAAGAATAGCGAAACAAATACTTCTGATACAATCCACTGCAAATCGATATTTTTATTTACGATATTGCATTACGATATTTACGATATTGCGATTTTATGAAGTTCTATGAAAGTTTTCCCAAAGAAAATATTATATTTTCAGTTATTTTAATGGAAATTTGTTTTTTTTTTCATATTTCAATAGTAAATAGTTAAATTTCATCATAATTTGTTTTATTAATGATTTATGGGCTTTCATTTAAAAGTACATTGATATGTATATTTGTTTTTAATAGTTGAAAACAAAAAAGAAACAATAAATAAAATAATATTTGATTTAAAAATGTAATACGCACACACACGTTTAACATAATTCGATTATACAAAATTTAAAATATAGAAATTCATCGCATTTTAAAATAAGAAATGTATAAATTTGGTGTAAAGTTATAAATAATAATAAAAATAGAAAATAAAGGAAAAAAAGGATAAGAAGGATTAAGGATGTGGTAAAAGAAAAACTTCATTTCAAAAAAAGTATAAAATGAATTCAGAAAATAAAATAATAATAATAATAAAAAAAAAACACACTAAACTCCTCATGTCTACCATTTGAAAAAAAAATATAATGGAGATTCACACTCTACAGACAGAAAATTCTCCAAAATATCGAAAAAAAAAAAAAAAAACAAAATTAATTCATTTTGTTCACCATTTTGTAAAATTTTAAGTTTTTATTTTATTTTTTTTATTTTATTTGCAGCATTCAATTTTTATTTGTTTCATTTAATTTTATTTATTTTTTAAATCATTATATTCATTATTAATACATTTTATATTTATTTTCAGAGTTAACGTTAAGATTTTTAGTAAATAATATTTTTAAAATTTTATAAATGCTATTAAAAATACTCAAAAGAAGTTAGTTTCTTAATAGATGCGATATTAATTAGGCTAAGTTGGTTCAATTTTGTAGGAGAATAATGGGTCCTCTTCTGAGTATCGAATCACTAAGTGATAGTGATAATTATCGTAAAAAGTTCGATATTATTATTGTAAACACAAACCAATTTATACAAATGTTTTGTGTTTATAATAAAGTTTTTCAAATTTTCACGATAAATATCATCATCACTTAATTATTCGATACTCAGAATAAGCACCAATAGATAGGTATGACATTAATAGATCAAATGTATTTAGATTCTGTAAACGTTTACCCTTAGTAGCTTTCATTTATTGTAGTATTTGTGGACCATGAAATATGAAATGTTAGGAGGTTATATTTAATCTTAATTCAAGGATTTGTATATTAACTGCAAATTATTTGTATAACCAAATAAATAATAATTGACGTACAGGTGTAAAATTTTTGTTAACTTTTCAATAAAAATGTGCAGTTTATTTTTCTTACGTTATTTATTTTTAATAAACAACAATTAAATTTAATTATTTTTTCTTAATTTTTAATTTAGTTTTATTTCTTGAATATATGCAAAAAATTGAATATCCCATAATTTATACAATATATATTTTAGATTTCGACAGCCAGACTAATGTCATATATCTACCGTTTTCTTACAGTTTCATTAATATTTTTGTATGAGTATAGGATTTTTATATTTCTTTAAAATTTTTCTTATTCTACGTTATGATGCTGTTTTATTAATACTATTTTAGGAAGAAACAATTAAAAATTTATAAAATTTGCTCTTTTACTAGTAGTTTTTTGGTTCAAGTAAAATTTTTTGAATTTATTAAATTAGTATATGTAGGTATGTATTGCATTAAGTTGCTCTTAAAGACACAATTTGCTTTCATTTGCCAAAATTATTTAGGCTATATATATAGTAGGACATCATTTTTGCCATTTATTTAAAAAAAAAAAGTTATTTTAATTTATTTTTATTTAAATTATTTTGTTTTTTATTTAAAAGCCGTAGTTAATGCTTCATTTAAATTTTTATTTTACTTTTTAGTATATTATTTTCATAATAGAAAATTTAAATTATTCATTGTTTTATTAATTAATTCTATTGTATACGCTACTCTGTTTTTTAAAATTTTTACTAAATTTTTATTTTAATTAGAAATGCTACTGTTTTTGTTTTTTTTTGCTCTTAGTTTAATTTTAAATTAAACATGAACTGAGAAAATAAATAATTTTATTTTTAAATAATTTCATAAAAAATCATCAATTCATTTACATAATTAATTTTGAATGTAATAATTTAGTAAAATAATTACAATAATAAAACCATATGAATTTTATATAGTAAAACAACTGCATTTTTCGTTTCAGTAACAACATTTTTTTTTTTAATATATTTTACATTTAATTAAATTTTAAAATTACAAAATTATTAATAATGCTTCTTTTTTATTTTTTTTCTTTTCTTTCAATTACAGCGGGAAGTAGCAAAAATGACAAACAGCCTAAAAAAGAAAAAAATTATTTTTAAATATTAATTTTATTGAATGAAAATGTTAATTAATTGAAAAATTAAAAAAACAAAAATTAAATGAAAATTTTACCAACGAAATTTAATGTTTGCCATTATTTTAAAAATAATAGGTAGATTTTTATATTTATATAAAAATAATATTTTTTTTTTCTAAAACGAATATTTTATATATGTATGCAGAGTGATTCATTATCAAAATAAAAAAATATTTAATTAGATTTCATATAAAAACCTTTGTATATAAAACGGTTTATTTTGTGTTACAAATACTAAAACATTAAAATTGGGGCTTACTCTCAGTGTGGAGTCACTAAGTGTTAGTGATATTTAATCACAATAATAATATTAAATTTTTTACGATCATTATCCCTATAACTTAATAATTCGATACTCAGAATAAGCCCCATTACTTTCTTAATTAATTTTGAAAATCAGAGTAATTTCAAAATTCTGGGGGCATATGTAAATTTATTTAATATTGGAAAAACATTCTAGTTCCTACTTTGCAGACATTAATGTGCTGTTGCTAATCTTTTTTTTTTTTTTGAAAGAATTTTAAATACGCTACCTTGTTATTCGCTACATTTTTATCACTACTTTGCGGAAATATAACAAAATTTAATTCTGAAATATCATTGCAAATGAAAATTATTTCACTAATTCGTAATTTTTCACAAACAAACGAAAAGAAAGAAAAACGAAAAATAGGAAAAATGCTCATACTTTGAATTAACGAAAACTAGAATCATTTGTGAATCATTTCATATGAATCATTCTGTAAAAATATATTTATAAAAAATGTTATATATTTCTTATAACCTTAATATATATATTTCTAAATATAATGTAAAAATGGAAAGGAAAATTTAATTTTTTTTAAATATGTTTTTAATAATAAAAAAATTATGTATTTTAAATACTTTATGTATTTGCATAAAATTTTAATTATTTTAGTATTTTTTGATAATGACTGTAATTTGAACGAAAACTAAATAGGGCAAGCAAGAGATATGGTATATATACATATATATATATATATATATATATACACAGTGTTTTAAATTAATTAAATAAATTAAAAAAAAGTAGAAAACTAACTGAAATTAAAAAAGAATCAAAACACAAATATAAAATGATATGCATATAATTCTAATATAACAGAGCTAAATTTGCAAATAAAATTATTGCTCAGAGCTAATTATCTAGTAGATTAATAAACTGATATACAAGTGGCAATCACAAGTTAAAGTTTGTTATCGCTTTATTATCAAATATGATCTGATAGGTTTTCCTGCAACTAATTCAAAACTGAATCTATTAAATTTTAAATTTTAATATTTATATTGTATTTAGTTATTCTAAATCTCCTGCTTAATATATAATTTACATTTTGCAAAAATAATTAATAAATTTTAAATTTTCTAATATTGCTAATAGAATATTTTCCTCCATGTTAATGTCTTAGAAATTATAGTAAAAATTGTTATATTAGAATTATTTGCATTTTATTTATTTTTTTTTAAATATATGTGATAAAAAAGTTTTTTTATATATATAAATCTAATGTAAAAAAGAAGATATCTTAATAAATACAGAATTCTTAAATAAAAAAAAAACAAAAATAAAATATGTGAAATTTTAATAATTATTTAACAAGTTATATAGAGGATTTTGAATGAGCATAATAGAAGAATGAGCATAAAGAATGTACATTAAAATTAATTATTAAATTTAAAATTTTTAAAATATGTAATAGTAATGCAAAATATTGAAATTAAAATCATGAATTGACATATTAACAAATTATACAATTTATTCATTAAATCTAAATAAAAGAGAAATCATCTTAATGGCATTTAAAGACAAAAATTTATGAAGTTCGGCTTATTATTGCTCATTAAAAATTAATATCACAAATTAAATCACGTATACACCCATATTTTATTAGTCGCATTACCCGACGTGATAGGTAATTGTTGTTTAAAAATTTTAGAATAAAATAAATTTCGAAATTCGAAATTCTATATTAAAAAGCGCAATTCTTACCATCAAGACAATCACTTTCCCGACAAGTGAATGCGACTGACAGAATATGTGTGATATATTTTATTTAAAAATGATGTATCCTATATAATATAAATAGCTTAAAATTTATTCAAAATATGTACATATAATTTTAAATTTTGTATACAAAAAAACAAAAAAAAAAAATAGAAATCAAGAATTTTTTTTCATATTTTATACATCTAATGTATTTTTTTTTTTACGTAAATAGTTTTTAATAATTAATTTTTAGAAGATTTGCAATTATGATAAAATAATTATAATATTGAAATGTGCATAAAATATAACTATATACATTACAAATTTATAAAATGTTACTTAAACTATATGAATTTTAGGTAAGTACATACAATACAAACAAATAGTATGTACAAATTATATTACATTATATAACATAAACTAGCATTAATATTTACATACATAGGGTAATTGAAACTTTTAAGGCCATTATCAAAATTGCATAAGAAATCTCTAATATTTAGTTTTAAATACTTAAAACGTAATTTCTTTGAAATTCAGTTGTAATTGCCATTTCTATTTAGCTGTATTTGTTCTCAAAATCCATCGTAGCAAATAGAATCCAAATTTTGTCCCTATCCTTTATGTACATCCTCTTACAAATTTTATAATTAAATATTTTGTTATTTGTGAATCTAAAAAGTTTTTAAATTTAAATGTTAATAAATTTTTATATAAATTTCTTCAAAATATTTATTTGTATTGATAATTTAGAAAATTGTCTCAGTTTTTTATACCAATTTAGAATGTTTTTATGCTCAATTGTTCCGCTAGGACTGCTTTATGGCAGTTTCTTCAAATCCGGTAATTGTTGATACCTTAAAATGAATTGAATAAAATTTTATTATTTCTAAATTTGCCAAGGTTAATCTTAAAAAAAATCGAAAATTATTTTGACAAAATTATAATACTCTAGAGCAGAGTGGGGGAACTTTTCACCATAATAACTTTGGCAAAGTTATTGATCTTAAAATTCGATTTTTTTTTATTTTAAATTCAGTTTTGTTTTTTTTCTAATTCAATTTTTTATTTAGAGTTCAGCCCCAATTGCTGCTCTAGAGTTGTAGACTGTTCAATTTTAAGTCGAATATCTGCAATTATTTAAAATTCACAATTATATGAACATTGTCTTAATGAATTTCTAGTATTTTTAATGAATTTCTACAGATATACTTTTTGTTTTAATACCATTATGTATGTAAATATGTTCTTATACTTATAAATTAAAATTTGTATTAATATATAAATATGTACATAATATTTGATACAATGTACATACTGAAAATATATGCACAAAATATTATTTTATATTATGTAGGTTTAATATTGCAATAAACAAAACAAAAAAAATTAAATATTTAGTTATATAGTAAATTTAATAGGTATTCATAGATAATATTAAATTAATTAGATTGTATACAAGAAATAGAATTTAAAAAATAGTTTGTAATATGTTTTTAAACATTTCCTAAAAAAAAATACTCTTTTATCATTGACTTCACTTTTAACTCAATAAAAATTTTAATAAGATTTTAAAAGAAAAATTCATAATTAATTTGAAGCTACTGGCGTTTGTATGCTGTGGAATTTATAGGGAAAATGCTTATGCATCATTCGATTCTAAAAATAAATTAAATATTAATATTATTATTATATTTTAAAATGTGTTTTTTTTTTGCATACTACAGAATCTAGAAAACAAATAACTAACTATTCTAGCTCTAATATTTAAAATATACTTAATGTTAATTTCGATACTGCCTCTCCATTTCAGTAATTTTTCAATATTTTATTTTCAGTATTGTTTTAATTTTTATATTTGTATTTTAACAAATATTTTTATTTTATAGTAATTGAATTTTAATTTTAAATAATATTTTTTTTTGCCATACATTTTAATAATTATTCAATTTTCTTTAATATTTTTTTTTTATACTGCCTTAATATTTCTTAAGTTTTTGTCTATTGTAATTTCATTTATTTTTTAAATATAAATTCACATTTTATTCTTTTTTAATAAAGAAATGTTTAAGAATACATTATAAATGTTAGAAATTAATATTTTTTTTGAGTATGTATGTGTACTTATGCAATAATTATTAATATATTAAATATAGTTATTAAATTGTAAACTCATTATATACTATAGAATTTGTAAACTGGAATATAAAAGAAAATTTATATTATCTGATATTATAAATAATTTAAGTAAATAAATAATGATAAAAAAAATAGAAAATAAATAAACAAAAATTGAAAGAAAGGACGGCATGTGCTTTATAATAAAAATATTTTTTTAAAGAAAACACTCTACTTTAATTATTTTATACTTATAACAATTACCAATTTCAGGAAATCTGCATGATATTATGTATTATATTCATCCTAGAGGTTTAAAGCTGTAGTCTCTAAATGGAAAATGTGGAGCTTGAAAATAGAAGAATCTCTGATTTATTGTTCTTGAAATCTAGAATTTCAACAATTCAGACTGCACTTAAAGTTTTACTTCAAATCTCAAAAATCTTTTTCCATTATTATAGAACTACAGGAGTTAACTAACATTAGAACTTTAAGAATGCTGCGATATATAATCATGCTTGTTTTGTACAAAAGATTTATCGAACACGTTTTGTATTAGGTTCCAAGTCAGAATTAAATTTTCGAAAACCCCAAAACTTAACTTAATTTTTTATCTCAACATCAAGAAGATTGTTTGTGAAATTTTCTTTTTAAAGGGCTTAAAATAAATTTGACTTCTGTGAGTTGTTTTGATGTTAATATGAGAACTCTTGTATCTTACATTTCGTTTTTAATGTATGTATTTTTATTAATATGTGTAATATTCAAAAGCATTATACTTTCAGTTCAAAAATTTCTGGATATCTCACATCTAGTAAACGAAATTAAATTTATTTTACCTCAAATAAAGGAGCATTTTCAATAAACTTACCTACACATACATATGTGCATTAATAAGCTTCTGTGGTATATACATACATACTTTCCCTCTTTCAGAAAACTTTCCAAACTTCATCCTGTTTCAAATAATTGCATTTATATTTTAACTCCTAGACTTGGATTTATCATTCAAATAAGAAACGATTTCACGGTTTTCATACTAATGAAAAAAAATCTGATTTCCGTTTTTTTTACTACATAAACATACTTTTATTTTTTTCCTTAACCAAAAATCAATAAAAAAATATTCACTTATAACATCTATATACCAATATGCATGTATGTATATACTAATTTCAACATTTTATCATTATATTATTTTACAGCAAAATATATGTAAGCAATTTTACTGTTTTAATTTAATCAGCTTTGCTACCAATTAATGGAAGATACTGATTATATGTGATAAGATTGCGTACTAGAGCACCGCATGATATTATGCATATTAAACCAGCTGGCATAAATTTTCCACTGTTTGCAAATCTTGATCCCATTATACCAGCCAAAACTAAAGATGTACCCAATTGTAAAAGAGGTCTGGGTGGTTCTTGTGAATTCAAATGAGCACCATAGCCTAAAATACTACCGAAAATAAGACCGGCTCCTAAAGATGGTATAGAACCTAAAATTTTATATTTATAATGTGCAATTCATTGCTATAAGATTGTAATTTTTAAACTATACCAGCTTTAGTGTAACCTATTATTCCACCTGCAGCAACCGTAGCTGCATATAAATATCCAATTAAATCAGCAGGCATTTTTTTAAAAATATTATTTTGTTAAACTGAGAATTGCAAGTGTCACCCTTTCACAAAATATTTAGTAATTTGAAATGAAATTGATTGACAGAACTAATTGTGTTGCCGTTTTAAGAATTTTTTTCGAGACAATTATTTTAATTTCGTGTACAACACTTACACATATAAAAATTGAATCAATATATATTAAAGTCGAACAACGATACAATATCAATTACAGGTAATAACGGTAATAATGCGCATTATCAAATTTTTTGGCGGCAGTATTTGTATAAGTATGCTAATATTATTAAAATTAGCTGTTGAATCAAGTGTTTCATATGAAAATATGGATATTTTACCAGTGATTAGGAAATGCAGCGTAGATTTACCTTTACTGCATCTTTTAACGACTATGACAGTACTAACATTAAAAAATTGTACTATAATTTTGTATTCAGCCAGTACTTGACATTTGAAATGTCTATTGTCAAACTAAATGTCAATTATATGTTGTACAAAATCAGATTTGTTTACAAAATCAGATGGTTTTTAGAGAATTTTTAAATTATTTATTATATGTAGATTTTCAAAAATTTAAAAATAAGTGGAATTGTATTAATAACATTGTAATTTCAAAGTTATCCAAAAGTATTTAATTTATTTATAAACTGTAAATTGAGGAAGAAGAATAATTGTCATTTCAAGAAGCTACAAACAAGAGAAAAATATTTATTTTCTGGAATTGAGATATAAATAATTTCATAAAATAGCTAAAATGGCATCAGCTTCAAGCAGCAGTGCTAGGTAAATATTATTAGATAGCGATACTTCATGCGTAAAGTGGACTTTTTTTCGAAAGAAAATTTTCTGAAGTTACTTTTCATTAAATTATTTTATAATAATATTTCAAGTTTATTTCCGCTTTTATTTTAAGTAAATGTGGAACCATTAGTCATAATGCTTAAGAAGTTATATATTTACCAAGAAACCGAATTCATCGAGTGTTATGCTTCTTACACGATTTGCTTCTGCTCTAAAATCTTTAATATTGAGAAAAAGTATATCGTATGCTTGTTAAATTCCTAAAAGATTGCGTAAAGTCTAATAAATAACCAGTATTTTAAATAATGTTTACCAATATAAAATTAATTATTATTAATAAGTAATGACAATAATAAAAAATTTGGGTCATTTCAATTCTAGACATTTATTTGCTGATAGCAAAAAAAGGTTGGCGGACAGGGTAGCTGTCAATGTAAATAATATTGGTTCTGTTTCAAGGTTTGTTTCTTGACTAAAATGAATTAAAATTTTTTTCAATGTTTAACTAAAGCCTTTTTATTTAATATAATATATTCAAGGCAAATTGTTCGTGGTTCTAAAACTAACGAGGTAAGATTTCAAATTTCAATTTTAATGAAGCTAAAAGAAAATCATAATTTTAGATTTTATCACAAACAATTCGAGATTTTGCTCAATGTGAATCAGCTATGGATAACTCAAGTGAGAATCTCCATAAAATGGAATTAATTCGTCAACATATGGGCTATCAATATGAATCAATTAGTCAAAATGCAATTAATTTGGAATATATTCATGAGCAAGTGACAGCGATGGAAAGATGATTTGAAATCAGTTTATAAATTATTGTGCTTTATGTTCTTGAATTTTAAATTGGTTTTATTTTTAATCTTATTGTAAAAGTATTCCCAATTTCATTATTATAGAAGTTTATCAAAATTTTGTATTAAAATTGGTCGTCTTGTTATTAGTATGTTCTTAAATACTTTGTATTGAATTATATTAAAATATATTAAAATGTTTAATATAACATATGTATATTAAAAATTGTATAGAAATAATTCCTCAAATAATAGAATTAATGTGAAAACTGTTTATTTTGCTTAATTCAATTTAAAATAATTATTTTAAGCTACTTCCAGATATCTGATCGAATGTTTAAAATTTCTTAATAAATTTTAATTAGGTATATAAGTATATGTATAATATGTATTAAAAATATGTATTATTAATCAAAATTAAAAATTTATATTAAAAATAAAGTTTTAGTTATGTATGTATGTATATCTACCCGTATATCTACTACATTGTGTTTTGTTTTCGGTCATAATTTAAAATTTAGTGGTTTATATGCAAACATTAATGTAAATTAAATACAAGGTGAAATATAATATTTGAGATGATTTTAAGCAATAAATTTTCTACTTTTATTTTTTTTTGTAGAAAATTTCAAAAATGAATATAAAAAAACTAAATAAAATCCCAACAATCCAAATTAATATTATTCCGATTAAATTTTGTATATTGAGTGTTCTTATACTACCGTCGTCCAGACTCTTATTTTCTCTTAGGACATCTTGTATGTAATTATCTAGGTATTTCCTGGTATTCTAAAATAAAAATTAAAATTTGAAATTTTTGTATTGTATCACAAAGTAAATTAATAAAATAAACTGCTTCAAACAAAAATATAAGCGTATGTATGTAATTACATCCCATTCCCAATATTCGAGTAACCCACTTGCATGAAGTGCTAAAATTAATTTATCAAAATTCTCCAAATATGGCCATAATTTCGGCACAAAAGCGACGCAATATTCATAATATAAGTCCTCTTTCATGACGTGATAACGTTGTGCTGCTTCTCTCGATATATATTCAGGTATTGAGTAATGACCTTAAATTTTAATATGAAACGGTAGAAATTGTATGTTATAACAATAATTAATAAATATAAGTAAACTGTTTCTACCAAAAGGTAATCTTTCAATCACAAAACCAATATTTTCGTTCAACGAACGTTTTTTTAAATTTTCCATTGAATCGATTTCATAGAGTTGAATTACTTTTCGTATCAAGGGCTAAAAACATTTACATATATAATTCAAATCTAAAATTAAATCAGATTTTATTTAGCTATTACATCTTCAGATTTTTCCATTGAAAATATCCAATTTTCAGCTGTTCCAGTCCATATCATATTATGTTGTGCTAACCGTTCAATTGTGTCTGTGGGATCTTGAAAACTTTCAAAATATAAAATATAAAAATACAAGATACAAGTTAAGTAAAGTAGGTTGCCGGATAACAGGTAAACAATATTTTATTATAGTTTAAGTATTTTAATAAAATTATAGAAGTAGAAATAAGATTTTCTTACATTGGTAAGGTTAAAATGCTTGCCAAACCACCTTCATAAACAGCATCAATTACTAAGTTGATAATTAAACATGAAAATAAAATAGTTCTTGAAATTAAATCTGTATGAGTTTCATTGAATCCTTGAGATAAAAATATTCTTAATGTAACACTAAATCCATATATAAAACTTTCCTTCTTTATTTGATTACTTCTCTCATTAGACTGATGCGAATAACTTAAAAACAATGACAAAAATTCAATTATTAAACAAAAAAGTAAAGCTATCCATAACTGCCATGAAAATGGTTGCAATGGTAAGAAAAATGGTATTTTTTGTCTGAAAAAAGTTATATCCCGTAACTTAAGGTAAGGTTAATATCGGACAAAAAAATCTAACACTTACAATGGTACTGGTACAATATTTGTCACACCTGATCTAGATAATGGCATGCTAATATCAAAATGCAAATATTCTCGATGCCTAAAATAAAAAATAGGTAAGGTTATTATTTAATTAATATATTTAAATATTTTCGATTATCTTATGATATTATAATATTTTAAGTCCTCTTTCTGTTTACCATAAATACAAAGCATCAATTGCTATTTCACATTTGCCTTTATTTAAAGCACCCAACAAACCTACGCCGCTCATATTCCAATATGCTGTACCCCAATCTTTACTTTCTTCTACAAAATGAAAATATTATTTTAAAAGAAAATTAATTTATAAATTTACGTACCTATATACACTTCAACTGTACAATTATGTCTTCCACAAAAATAAAGTAGGAATCTAGCTTCAGTGCCATCCAAAAATAAAGGTTGTCTCTCAGTTGCATTTATTATTTCAAGTACATTAGCTGAATTGTTCTGAAAAGATTTAATTGTTTTCATAACAAGTAACAGAGTTAAATTTTAAGTTTAATATTGAAAGCTTAATAAAATATGTAAGTAAAAGTATATTAAAATGAATATATGTACTTTTGTTGCAACAATGAAGGGTCTATAATCAAAAGTTCCCAATTTTATAATTTTACCCATTAAATTGTATAGTTTATCTGGATACAAGTTAATATTATATTGAAATGTTCGATTTAAAATAAAATATGTATTTAAATGTATTATTTTTTTTGAATCACTGATTGTTGGACCAATGAAATTTTTTGTCCAAAATTCAATTTTTGTTTCATCAATAATATGAGCGATTAAAAAATCTGGCAGAACTGTAAAAATAAAACTCAATATAATTTTTGTTTTATATTAATTATTATTCAATTATTAAAAAGTTTTCTATTAAACTGAATTATTTCTTGCTCTGCAATATAAAATCCGCAATATTTCATGGGTATTTAAGGACAAGGCATTAAAAAATCAAAAATTTGCCTTAAATTTCGAAAAATGTAGCAAAATGAGCAAGATATAATTGAAGAATTCTATGTAAAAGCTAAATATTTACAATTTATAAGATGATGGTCCATATCAGGATGACTTGTTATATCATTAATTTCAGTATTATAAATTAATAAAAATTTATAAAATTTAAATCGTTTTTGTAATCCATAACTAATATTAGTGAATCCATTCATAAAAATTGGTATATTTTCTTCAAAAACAATGAAATGCTAAAAATATTAAGCAAAATTTTAAGAAAATTTTTATAAATAATAAATAATTTAATAAAATATGTACCTCGCAGTTGCAATTTTCTATTAAATTATTTAATTCAGTAATAAAATTTTCATAGATTTTTAAATTTCTTGTTATTTTCAAATTAACTATTTGAATTTCATTTTTTGAATTGATGTTGAAAAATAAATTTTGATAATTATTTTGAAGTTTATTTTTGTCATCCCACAAAATACATATGCTGTTATTTGATAAAAGATATTTTTGAACTAAATAGAAATTTTTATGTTAATAATTTTTTAATGAAAATTTTAAATTTTATTTAAATAAATATTACTTATAATTCCGAATATGGTTATGAATGGTAATTGTGGAATTATAACCATATTTTAAATTTCAAAACTTGAATTTATGATTTTTAAGAGTTTTGCTTAACTGCGTACAGTTTTGATTAAATGCGATTTATATAATATTTTGTCCACAAACTTAAATACGTGAGGTAATAGTAAAGAAATTGAAGCGACATCTTTTGTTTGCATGTTAAAATATTCATGATTACCTTATTCTGTTTTATGTTGTGAGAGTAGGTATGTATACACTTTTACTTTAAAAAATTTAATAATTATGTTGACTTTTACAAATTTTTAATAATAATTTTAAAATTACTTAATTATATTTATCGAAATTTGCAATATTTACTTATATTTAACTTGTTCATTCAATTTATATATTTTGAAATTACGTTAATTATGTAAGGTTGTGAATGGTTATGAGATATATAACGCAAATTTCAATTATATACTCGTATTATATGTATTTATCTCTTTTTTATGAAAGACTTATTTGGATTGAAATTTAAGGTTTTTGACGTAAATAAGACAATAAATTTTGTTCGAGTTTAATTCATAAAATCATGATTTTAAGCCATTTTGATTGTTTTCAAGAGCAATTTGCTACAGTTTTAAATAACATTTTTACACTATTGTATATCACAATATCCTCTTGTATTGTTAGTTCAATTAACTTTAAGTTGATTTTAGTAATCAAGTTTTCAAGTAAAAATTACATAAAATGATGCACAAATAATTTATTAATATTAAACATAAATTATCAGATGATTTTATGAATTTTATATTTTTTTTATAATAATTTTAAAATATGTATAATTTAACATACATATATAAGTATATGTATGTGAATGTAAAAATTTGCATTTAACCTATAATTACACTTTTATTACGAAAATACATTACAAAAGGTTATGTTGAAAGCCTTACTTAAAAGTGTTACAATTATGCTTGTTCATATTACATTTACACAAATATATGTAAAAATGGTGTATATTTGGTAAAAGTTACCACAAAATTGCTTTTAATTTCGTGAAAAATTAAAATTTTAAAATAAAAACGAAAAATGTTTTTGTTTTAAACATTTCCTTTTTTTTCTGTTTTGGAACACTATGAAATCATAAAAATATTTATGCAGTTGTGTAAACGCGAACAGAGCCATATTTGATTTTTATAAAGGCTCTAATTAAGGCTATAAATTTTATATACCAAAATTCAATTTAAGTGAGTTTAAATAAAGATATGCAAAGTAATAATGAAATGTCAGACTATATGCAGGATGTAATATGCAGGAGATTTCACTCAAGGTTGTAAGTAATTTCAGGGGGAAATTTATTTTTTTGATTAATTCCCTGATAAAATTCGTTTGGAAGGTGTAGGTGAGAGAAGAAAATTGACAGATTTTTATTTTTGTTCTTAAAGCTATTCAAAGTGGATCATGTCAATAGAATTTATATTAATAAAGGTACAGTTATAATAGTTATATTAGTCAATTCAGCTCCCAAAATTTTTCAGATTGTAATGAGCAATGTATTAATCCTCTGATTCCGATTCTGTTTAATTTCTATATTTATCAATATACGAGTATACATAAATACAAAATTGTTTACGAACACGCACCTTCACATATACAGTTATAAAAATATATTTTTGCATTTAATGGTGTTTTAATTATATTAAAAATATGCATCCATTAAAAATTAATAGAGAGAGTAATTAAAAAAGAAAAAACAAATGAGTAGAAACAGAAGCAAAAAACGAAAAACGAGGCTAAAAAAAATATTTTTTCCTCAAAAATTTTCAATCAGGATAATTTTTAAAACATAATATTACGAACAAATTTTACCTGAATATCTCATTCTGATTATATAATATAAAAATATATGTAAAAAATATTATTGTGAAGCCATAATATACATGATATAATATATATAATATATATGTAGCATGTATGATAAAAAACAAAAAAATATATACGGAAAACTTGTTTAAAATTTAGCTGATTTTATTTTTCAAAAATTTTTTACATTTTTTTTGTTATATAACCATCAATTCACCGTAATAAATGTTTTATTGTATGAAAATTATTGCTTTTAACGGTAACTAAATGAAACTTTTACAAATATAATTAATACTGTTTTATTCTTATTTTTTTTGTTTTTTGAAAAAGTTATAAAAATAAAAATTAAATTTTGAGATTTTATACTTCAAAATAATTAACAAAAATAGATTGGAAAAAAATTATTAATAATAATGAGTAATGAAGTTTAAATTATTTTTTTTATGGTTTTGCTAATAGCTCTGGCACAATTGTTTTCAAAATAAGTGAAAAAAAATCTACATCTGCTTAAAAAATGTTGCCATGGAGCCGTAATTTGAGTAAATTCTGAAATTGCATATTTATAGGAGTATGAGGTAAAATTTTGTTTCCGTGAATATTTTTTTTTATTATGACATTTATTATATAAAAATATTAATTTATAAATTTAATTATAATTACATTATGTTTTCAATGTATAATAATTAATTATGAAAATTAAATGGATTTTAAATGATCAAATTTCGTGCCAATTAATAAATTAGTATTTATATTGTGACATTTTTCTTTTTACGTTAAATGTTTTTATGCAAACATTCTCTCTAATTTTAATCAAGTTTGGAATTTTAGAATGTCGCACAATAATGCAGGCATTATACTACATTTTTCAGTTACGACGACCCTCTTTTTTGCTATGCTTTTTGGTAAGATCTCTTAACAATGGAATACGTAAAATTATTAAAATATATCATTAAAGTATAACGCTCATTTACAGCAATAATGACATAATTAAAAAAATACGATTTCTGAGTTATTTTGTAATGTAGTAAAGCGAATATATATTTGATTTGTGTATCTTACCTTCACTTCCTAAATGTGAATGTTGATAAAGGTGCATTTTTCAATTGTAAATACTATATAAAACTCCTAGGCATATAAACAAATAGTATATATTTGACTATATTCAAATTATATTTATTTTAACTTTGCATATAATTATATTTTATTTAATGAAATCGCCTCAAGAAGAGAATTTTGAAATTTAGTATAAAATTTATGCGTTTATGCAACGGATAACCAGATTGATATATTATTTGCACAGTTATAAAATTGAACTATTGAAAATTTATTATTTGTTTTTATTTTTGGCATAAAGTCATTTTAATATCATCCTAAAGACAAAAACTCAATGCGTAAAACATTAAAATTTTATATATGCATGTACCTATACTTAAATGTTTGTACATGTGTTAACTTCTAATTCAATTACATTTAATATTCATGCTACAAATCATTACCAAAAGCTAAAAATTTATTACTTTACGAAAAGTAAAACTAAATCAATAAATATTTGTACATGAATGGTGAACATTAAAAAAGAGTACATAATATGTGTGTATATCAAACGTATACAATGCATACAAAATTCACGAATTTGCATGAAAGAATGCATATAGCAGTTATTAGTAAATTATTTTCGACAGGCATTGTATTCCTTAATAGCATAGTATATATAGAAGTGTGTTCTGTCATTTGCCAAATCATTTATACATCAAAAAGAGATAAAAATAATAAAAATTGAGCGAGAAAAATAACAATGGAATTTTTAAATGGTTCTGATCTTGTATATTGTGAGAATAATTTAGTTTACGTAGGTTAATAGAAATGGGAAATTTGGGATACAATATTGTTTAAAGAATGATTGGGTGTATTCTGAGTATCGAATTACTAAGTGATAGTGATAATTATTTTAAAATGTTCAATATGATTAATGTAAACGCAAACCAATTCATACAAATGCTTCGTGTTTATAATAACGATCTTGGGATTTTTACGATAAATGTCCCTATCACATAGTGATTCAACACTCAAAATAAGCCCGAATATTTGTTTTCGAATACAAATTCTCTCCCTTCCAACACTTGGAGTTTTTGAAAATGCAGTTCCTAAGGTTAGAATTGAAATGCTTTTAAAGCTTCATGTATAAATTAAATGTAGAGGTTTTAAGGCTTTGCAGTTCTGACTTTAAGAACTGCATTTTCAAAAACACCCACTCCTATAATAAATTTTTTATTCAATCAGGCTTAAATTTTAAATAATTTGAAGAAGCGAAATTTTATCTCTATAATTTAAATATTTGAAACGAAATTACAATTTAATAATACAATAAAATTTTGCAATTTTTTTTTTAGTGTATAATTGCAAAATGAAA